CAGGGAAAAGTCACACTCATGCTCTTGCTCGGACACGGGTCCTTACTCCTTGCCTGAGTGATGGCTAACTCTGACATGTAGCTTCCTGTGGGCCTCCTGGGGGAAAGAGCCAGGGCATTTGAGTGTTAGCAAAACATAAGTGGGAATGTGAGGACTGGAGCCCAGCATTGGGAAGGAAACTCACTGAGTCCAGTGTTCATGTGACCAACAGGTCCCAGTGAGTCTCTGTGCCGCATGGTCCCACAGCCGTTCAGTCCCAAAGAAACACACAGAGGCTTACATTAATTATAAACTGGTTGGCCTATTAGCTCAGGCTTCTTATTAACTAACTCTTACATCATACATTAACCCATCATTTTTGTCTATGTTAGCTACGTGGCTTGGTACCTTTTATCAGCGAGGCATTCTCATCTTGCTTCCTCTGTGTCTGAGTCATGAGTGCAGACTGAGCCTCTTCCCAGAATTCTCCTGCTCTGCTCACCCCACCTATACTTTCTGCCTGGCTACTGGCCAATCAGCATTTATTAAACCAATATAAATGACAAATCTTTGCAGGGTTTGAGACCGTTGTCCCACAGCACCTGAAGAGATTTGCTGTCCAGGGACACGATGATAAGTGATGTCTGGGGATTCTGTAGGGACCAAGAACAACGGGTGTGGGGACTACTTAAGGAATTGTGGGACGGTGGCCGACAAGGCCTCGGGGTGGCAGTGGGTGAACTACAGGCCTCAGGCCAAGCCTCCCCTTGGGAGAGTTTGAGTAAAAACATTATAAAGTTTTCTAAGATGGTCAAAACATCACAACTGGTTTGTTTGCGTTGGCTCTTATCAAGGTAAATTTATCTACAGAAAAGGCCAAATTGTTTTGAGTAATGTTTGTTACCAGCTGGTACTCTTCATTTGAAAATCTCTAAGCCCTGGACTTGGTGACACATGGTTGAAGTCTCACCATCTCGGCTCCTCCCCAAACAAATCCTCACAAAAGTGACTTATGTTAAGGCCAGAATGGACGTAGCTCCAAAAAGCTTGCGGGCACAAGGCTGGACTAAGAGCCAAAGACCCAGGGGACACCACCAGTGCTCTCCTGCCAGTTCTAGGGCTAGCCGCCCTTTCAGGTCACACTGGCAGGGTTCAGCATCCTCGTCACCATCTGTGTCTGACACTCGTCACCACTGACACCTGCCCCTAGGTCTGTCCCAGTGCCATGTCAGTGGCCCAAGTCTCGGCTAAGCTCCCAATGAAAAATAGCTGCCGTGGAAGGTTCAACATATCTCATTTCCCACGTGTGCTCCTCCTGGTGGCTGCTCCTGGTGGCTCCTCCTGGTGCTCCTGTCTGCAGTGCTGTGAGCACCTGACTTCACTGACCCAGGAACTACAGTTTTCTCTATAAAGTCTTTGTCTATGTGGTTATTTTCTGACCCATAAAATTGAGTTCAAGCGTTGTGTGGAGTTGGTTTTTTAACACCGCCTAGATCAGATGCTGTCTAGTTCTGTGAGCTAATGCTGAAAAGCTTTTGAAATTAGTATATTGTACCTCAACTTATGAAGGATGGGAAGCAGGAGTGGCATTTGATAAATATATTCAATTCACATTTTATCAGTCGTTTGAGCCACTGCCCCCTGACAGGCAGAACCTCAGTGATTAGGAGGGAGCAATGGGAAGGAAGGCAAACTTCTGCCCTGATGGGGAGCCTGTGTTCTGAGTGCTGGTGCTGACAATATCCTGGGCCCTTTGAAGTTACTTTCAAGACTATTTATTATTATTATCATTGATGATGATTACTACTACTCCTATTAATTTGGTTTTTCAAGCAGGATTTCTCTGTGTAGCCCTTGCTGTCCTGGAGCTAGCTCTAAACCAGGCTGTCCTCAAACTCACAGAGGTCCACTGGCCTCTGCCTGCCGAGTGCTGGGATTAAAGGCGTGCACCTCCACCACCCGGCTGGTTGCCCCATTTTTAATGATACCTTGTTTCGCTTGGATACTAAAAGTCTTTGGATTTAGGAAAGTGTAAAACTCCATAGAACTGATAGCTCCATGCTGTCTATGATGGACGTTTAATCTGATGACACAAGGTTAAAAAGAAAACGAAAGCTCTTTGAGAGGCAGAGGGTAGGTACCAGACTTCATGTGTACCTGCTCCTGGCCATAAACTTGTGTTTATCCAGTTTACAACAGTGGCAGGATCCTGGAGATTCTGAAAATAAGTAAGGGACAGATCACCCCTGCAGGGAACATGCAGAGAAGCCAGAGAGAAGGGCAACTCAGGGATGGCTGTGGGAGCCAATCTGAGGGCCTGTGACTCAGCCTTCTGGGTTAGGAAATATCTTCCCGGCTAACCCGATTCTGAGTGGCAGCTGACGTGAGAGAATCTCATGGGGTTCAGTTTTGCTGAGTAAGAAGTGAGGAGGAGGGAAGCCAGAGCGCTAGGTAGGCGCGGGGTGGCTTTCAGCCATAGTTGTAGACGATAAAGGAGATGTTCCGGGTTTAATAGGAAATAGATGAGGAGAATTAGATTTCAGGAGAGCATTATCAAGAGGCCCCAAAGTGGGAGAATCTTTGATGTAGGGAACAAAGGGATTTCTGGTTCTTACAGGTTTCTGGGGATGGGCCAGAAGGCTAGAAGGTTCCATACCACATGATCCAGCCAGTGGGCGGGGAGCCATAAGGCCAGAAGGGGTTAAATAAGAGCATAAAGTCATTTCGGAGCCTGGGCATCAGGGAGATGGACTTGCCTCAGCTATGAGAGTGAGGGACTGTCAGTCTGTGGCTGGTGTTGCTGTGGTTCCAACTGAAGAGAGACAGGCTGCAGAGTGACGGCCTGATATATCCAAGGTTGCCACTTCTGGTTCTCTAAGGTGGTACCGTCTTTTAAGGTCTGTAGCCCAACATCCATGCCAATGCCATGAATTTGAAAGAGAGAAAATGGGGGAGGACTTAGGAGCAGCTGGAGAGAAGAGAAGGGAAATGACGTCATTATAATCTCAAAAATGATTGCCATTGTTCCACGGTGCACATATGGAGGTCTGAGGACAACCCTGTGGGATCAGTTTTTTTCACACCACCTTTATGCGGGACATGGGGCTGCTGTAGAATTATTATTTTAAGGTGTGTTACACTTGCTTATGCTCCGGAAGCCTTGTTTAACGACGTAAAGATGTGTTGTTTTTGTTTATGCTGCATTCATTTATGTCTGTGAAGCTGTGATTCTTTGCCTGTCTAAAACACAGGCTAATAAAGAGCGGATAAAGAGCTGGACAGCCAATGGCGGGGCGGGAGCAAGGATAGGCGGGGCTGGCAGGCTGAGAGAATAAAGAGAAGGAGAAGCATGGCCAGAAAGAGGGGCAAGGAGAGGACGCCAGGGGCCAGCCGCCCAGCCACCCACAGAGTAAAAAGTAAAGAAAAGGAATACAGAAATAGAGAAAGATAAAAGCCCAGAGGCAAGAGGTAGATGGGATAGTTTAAGAAAAGCTGGCTAGAAACAAGCCAAGCTACAGCTGGGCACTTGTAAGTAACTGAAGCATGAATACTAGAAACTCAGAGAAATTGGGGTTCACCCTGAAGATCTGAAAAGCAAAACAGCCAGCCACTGGCTCTTACTTGCCTCGACCTCAGTCCGTAATGGCAATCCTGCCTCCAAGAATTTTAGAATGAGACCATTTTTATAATCCTCTCTCAGGCTGGGATTAAAGGCTGCACGAACACCTGGTTTCTGTGGCAAGCTAGGTGGCTACTGGGATTAAAGGTGTGTGTCATTGTTGCCTGGTCTGTAAGGCTGGCCAGAGGGCTGTTTTACTCTCCTGATCCCCAGGCAAGCTTTATTTATTAAAATACAAATAAATTGCGGCTACAAGTAAGAATAGGACCCCATGTGTGATTTATTTGGGAGCTTGGTAGCGAGCCCCCCAAAGAGTAAAAGAATAAAAAACAATGACATTTTGGTGTTCCAGCATGGGGCTAGCGTAAAAGAAAGTCCAGCGACTTTCTGGGGCTTGAACTCAGGTTGTCAGGCTTGCATGGTGAGCACTTTACCGGTCGAGCATCTCACTGGCCTGTGACGCGTATGAACTATGTTGGAGTTGCAGTAAAGACATACCTATCAGGATAGAAAGGCAGTAAAGACATTTTTGTTTTGGTGGAAAGCCTTAATTGCTTGCATCTCTGTATCGGCTTAAATGAATGCAGACAGATTGTAGAAATATATGCAGCTTTAATGGGGAAATAGACTTACAGAACCACAGGTTCCCGCGGAGAACAGGAAAACAGAAGGGGCGGTTGGGAGCACCCCGCAATCTTTATAAGTAAAAAATATCCTCGGGGGACCCCGCCCCCTGCTAGCAAGTTGATTGGCTGGGTCTCTCCTACACATCTCTGATCTGATGTTGTTAGATCATCACAGCTCTGCTTTTGACACCTTACGGATAAGTAATGTCCTGCTCATTCAATGAGCTTCCATTTTGTTATAGTTTGTTTACCTTAAAAATTCAATTTAAATCTTACTCCATTTTTTTTATCTTTGTGGACCCAAGGAAGAAGAGGGAGAAGAGGGAGCGAGAACAACAGAAGAGGTAGGGTCTGCATCTTTAACTGTTGGTTTAATCAACTTAGTGAAAACGTTTGTTGGGGACACCGGTGCTGCTTTTGCTACACTCCTCTCTTGTGTGTTTGCGTGTGTGCGCGCGTGTGAGTGCGTGTGACAACTGGAGGTCAATGCCAGATGTCCTTTTCAGACACTCTTCATCTTTGAGTGGCAGGTGTCACTGTGAGCCCTCAGCTCTAGTTTGGCCTCTTATTCCCATGGTGCCTTTGGCTCTTAGGCGTCTCAGTAATGATGTGATTTTGTAAACACTAGACAGAAGAGGTGACGGAGGAAGGAGCGGAGGGAGAGGCCGAGGAAGAGGACGCTGAGGAAGAAGCAGGAGAAGGGGAAGACTCTTAGGCCTTTCAGGCCGGTTCATCAACTATCCCAGGTAGGTGCGGAGTTCCGGGCTGAGTGGCTTGTCCCTGCGTGGCCTGTGTGATCTCTCATGAGGTGTGAGAAGCATGAGTACACATCTCTCCTGCCCGCATCTGTGCACTGCAGGGCTTCAGACCACCATGTGCATGACTTGGCTCTGGGACCGGATGGGAAAAGAGCACTCTGAGCAAAGGAGGGCTGGCGTGAATACATTTCCTCCTCCACGTGACCTCTATAAGAGCTGGCACAGAAGCAGCTTTTACATGTCCACGGCACGAATGCTGTTCATCACTGATGATGCTGGCGGCAAACCCTACCTCAAAGTCACGGAGCTAGCTGCTGGTTCATGAAAGATAATTTCCTGCAGCTCTGCGTGTCGTCTTGAGTGCTGGGTAGCCTGGCCTAACTTAGTAATATTAACCAAACACTCGTGTGTACATACTGTGGGTGATGAGACATTTATTTGGTGAGCTTTTGCTCCCTTGTGGTTTTACACGTCTGTTGGTGGTAAAACAGTAATTACGCATTCTCTACAGGTGGGTAGGTACCGGGTGGTTATGTTAATAGGTAAGGATGGTATACAGTAGTAAGGCATCAAGGACACAGTGGGACCCTTGCCTAGCGCAGGCTAAGTGAAACCCTACAGATCACTTGGTGCTGTGAAGCAGCGGGCTTCACGAGACACAAGGACAACACCACATTTGCACGAGCCAGGTTGCTGCTCCTGTTGTCCTTGTGACCGAGTCAGAGGCAGTGGAGCTTTCTGGGAGGGACCTCCCAATTGTCTGCCACCACTTAAAAACAAAAATCAGACAAACAATAAACCAAACACTGAAAAAACCAGAAGCCTAAAAAGCGTTTTAGTCTCCTCACTGTCTATATCACTCCTGTACTAAAAAAAAACATGAGTCAGATTTCTGGGCTGTAGCTGTGAGCACAGCTGAGAAGGACGCACAGTAGGTCACTAGCAAAGGCCCGTGATAATGAGGGGTAAGTATCTGGACACACAGTAGGTCACTAGCAAAGGCCTGTGGTGAGGGATAAGTACCCGAACACACAGTAGGTCATCAGCAAAGGCCAGTGATAATGAGGGATAAGTACCTGGACACACAGTAGGCCAGCAGCAAAGGCCCGTGATAATGAGGGGTAAGTATCTGGACATACAGTAGGTTATCAGCAAAGGCCTGTGGTGAGGGATAAGTACCCGAACACACAGTAGGTCATCAGCAAAGGCCAGTGATAATGAGGGATAAGTACCTGGACACACAGTAGGCCAGCAGCAAAGGCCCGTGATAATGAGGGGTAAGTATCTGGACATACAGTAGGTTATCAGCAAAGGCCTGTGGTGAGGGATAAGTACCCGAACACACAGTAGGTCATCAGCAAAGGCCAGTGATAATGAGGGATAAGTACCTGGACACACAGTAGGTCAGCAGCAAAGGCCCATGATAATGAGGGGTAAGTATCTGGACACACAGTAGGTCACCAGCAAAGGCCTGTGGTGAGGGATAAGTACCCAAACACACAGTAGGTCATCAGCAAAAGCCTGTGATAAGACTTGGTACCCGACTGGAGACAGGTGCACAGAGGGGTTCATGCAGAAATGGAAAAAGAATTCTTCAGTGCTCTGAAGTAACAGTGATGCTATGTACGAAAGATGGAGAGAGAACCACAGAAGAGGTGGGGTCTGCCATCTTTAACCGTTGGTTTCATCAGCTTAGTGAAAACATTTGTTGGTGATACCAGTGCTACATTTCTCGTGTGTGTGTGTGTGTGTGTGTGCATGTGTGTGTGTTTGTGTGAACAGTGTGGACATTCTTCCTCAACATTCTTATGGACAAGATGCTGATATCAAGATGGTTAGTATGCCCCAGGTGGTGGTGGAGCACACCTTTAATCCCAGCAATTGGCCAGAGGCAGAGACAGGTGGATCTCTGTGAGTTCCAGACCATTCAGGTCTACAGAGTGAGTTCCAGGACAGCCAGAGCTACACAGAGAAAAAAAGAAAAAAGAAAAATAAGACAGTTAATGTTTTGTTGGAGCTGGTGGGGATGTCTGTCACAGTTCATTATTAGACTGTAGCAGTATTGTGCTCCGTTTATATCACAGCAGATCTAGGGCACGGCTGGATGTCTCCCCACCACCTTCCTTCATGCTGGTGACACAGACCTCTCAACTGTCTGTTCCTCGGTAATGATTCCACTGCTAAGGAATGATTTGTGGCTCATATTTAAGAAAGAGAAAGTTGGCAGTTTTATGACGTCCCATCTGAAGAATCAGGAAAAAACACAAAAGTGATGGTTTTATCATCGAACCAGCAGCAAAGCCAAAGGCTACAGAGCCGCAGCCTCGCGAGCACCATGCAAATCCACGAATACCCACGCTACTTGCAGGGTTCCTTAAAAACTACAGTTTTAATATGATGACCATGTAAATACTGAATGTGAACTGGCTCAGCGGAGAGAGAAGCCTTAGTGTTTGGACGGTGTCCAGGTCCAATTCCAAAGTTAAAATAAAAACGGAAGACCAGAGTGAGGGGCTGTGTGGATCATTTTGTCTGTTTCTCCGAGGGTGCTGGGTTGGAACTCAGCCCATTGCAGTCTGTTAAATACCTGGATGTGAAGGCATGGACCAGGAGGCTCTCGGCTTCACCCTTGGCTCCCACTGGTTCAGTGACTTTCAAGTGTGCCATGGTTGATGGCAGGGCCCATCTCTGGGAACCACTCAGCTTCCAGAGGCCACCCTGTCTTGGTTCCTAGGAGTTCGTACTCAGTTTGAAAACACGATCTCTGGAGCACATGGCAGTGACCAGAACCGTGAAGACAGACAGTCTCCTGTCCAGTTCAGAGTTAGACTCCAAACTGGTGCTTGAATCTGAGATGCGAACTCTACCTCCCGAGGCTGCCGAGATGCTTCAGTGATAAAGAGTACTTGCTGCTCTTCCAGAGGACCAAGCTTAGTTCCTACCACCTACCCTGCCTGCAACTCAAGCTCCAAGGGATCTGATGCCCTCTTCTGGCCTCCACGGGCACCCTCATATGTACATCACACACACTCACACATTCACACGTATGAAAATAAAGATAAGTAAATAAATAGACCCTACTCCCCAACGCTTGCCTCTCAACACGGCCTCCTACTGTAACCTTGCCTTGCTGGAATTCCCTCCTAGGGACTCAGTTCTTGATGCAGCCTCTGCTTTCCATGAACAGAGAGCAGGGAAGCTAGTTAGAGGGCCGGCCTTTCTTCTGGTGTTCATGATGTTAGCTCTGGCAGCCAGTACAAATCCGGCTTGGTTCTCACCAAACTTATTTTCTCTTCTCTGCTCTGGGGCCAGAAAAGGTAAACTGTGGTCACGCCTTCCCGTTAAGTAGCAAAGATTGCAGTAAACACTCCTGTCTTTAACAGTCTTCTCCCACTCCTTCCTTTCTTTTAGGATATCCGAGCCACGAGGCCACATTTCAACTCTCTCCACTAAGTTGGTAAATCTTCACCGAGGACTTGTACCCTGCGACGCAGTTGGTGTGTTTGGGTTCCCACTGAACTGTATCACCGTGAGCTGAATGTGAGGACTGCACGCGTACTGTGCCTACCATTCTTGGTCTTTGCTTAGTTTTTGTTTCTTTTGCTGCACACAAGTAGACCTTCCGTTAATATTCTGCGAACAGTCTTACTGCGATGCAGCAGGAGCGTTTCCCTGTGTGCTGCTTGTTTAAGGCTTGGCTTTCAAAAATGAAACACTTCCCGGAGAGCAATCATAAATAAAGATTGATAGCAAGAACCTGTCTGGTCTTTCTGCTTTCTTGCTTTCTTTTCCCTTTCCCTTTGCTCACGTTTTTGTCTCTCTGTGGGCTTGAACTTGCTCTGTCTGTTCCGACTAAGTTCTATTTATCACGAGGTAAATTGTTTCTCTTGCACTAATTGGTTCAGGTTGTCAAATGGAACCGACTGTCTTGTATCACAGCTTGTGTAACATAAAGAGCTGTGTATCCTGTCTGGACCCTGACTGCCGCCCACACCTGCAGGGATGTGGCTAAGACAAGACGTCTGCTGCCTCATGGCCTGAACATTTCTGAGATGCAGGAACAGTTACGTCTGCCCCTCTGGCTGCTGGCTGATTTGCAGCCTTAGCCTGGCTGTGCTCTGGGCAGGATGGACAGCATCATTGTGCTTACCTGCCTGTGTTACTTTACCTGTGACATTTTTCTTCCCTGTGACATTTGTGGCTCTCCCTTCTCCTTGCCATTCTGTGCAATGCTCGCTGCCTCTGTCCTCTAGTGGGTGGATCAAGACCATGATGGGGAAACCCATTGAAACAGATGACCTGAGCTAATGGGAGCTCACCCACTCACTCTGGGTGGACAGCAGAGGAGCCAGCATAGGACCAAACTAAGCCCTCTGAATGTGGATGACAGTTGTATGGCTGGAGTAGACTGTGGGGCCACTGGCAGTGGCACCAGGATTTATCCCTACTGCTTGTACTGGCCTTTTTGGAACCCATTCTCTTTGGAGGGATACCTTGTTCATCCTAGATATGGGGGGGGGGGAGGGTCTTGGTCCTGCCTCAAAGTGATGCACTAGACTTTGTTGACTCTCCATGGGAAGACTTATACTCTCAGTGGAGTAGATGGTGGATGGGGTCGGAGCAGGGAGGAAGAGAGGGAGTGTGAACTGGGATTGGCATGTAAGATGAGAAAAGATAGTTTTTTTTTTTTAAAAGAGATAAATTAAAAAAAAGAGAGAAGGTGGAGAATCAACTGAGGAAGATGTTCTGGCAACAGCCTCTGACCTCCACACACACCCACATCAGTGAGCATACATGCACAGGTGCACACATGCACAGGTGCATGTATGCACACATGCACAGGTGCATGTATGCACACATAAGGCAGTTCAGGGATAGGGGCTGGGGAATATTTGTCTATAAGTACTTAAAATGTACAGGTTGACAGTGCTTAAACTGTGGAATCCCTTTTAAGAATGTACCTGATGGGACTGGATAGATGGCTCAGCAGTTAAAAGCACTGGCTGTTCTTCTAGAGGACCCAGGCTCAATTCCTAGCACCCACATAATGACTCAAACCAGTGTGTAGCTCCAGCATCAGAGAATACAAGGCCCTTTTCTGGCATCCATGTGTACACGGTACACAGACATGTGTTTATATAAAACATCCATACGCGTAAAAATAAATGAACTTTACAGTGTGTAATCTTTTCTAAAAAGCAAAAGATCAAGCCAGGCAGTGGTGGCCCACACAAGGGAGACAGAGGCAGAGAGATATCTGAGTTCAAGGCCAGCCTGGTCTACAGAATGAGTCCAGGACAGACATGGCTACAGAGAAAAACCCTGTCTCAACAAATCAAAAAGCAGACCAAATGTTCAAAGTCAGGTTAAATACATAGTGAGTTTATAACAGAGCAACCTAAATATTATGGAGAAAATAGTGAGTTTATGAAGATACGCTGTATTGAGAAGCAATCACTCTCCTTAGCTACTGAAGGCAACTGAGGACTGCACACTCACCTCGAACTCAGCCCCCACCAATCAGCTAGCTGCTCTAACCTTATCTTCCATTCACCAGAGAGTGTGTCAATGGCCACAAGATGTCCCTAGGGCCTGAAAACCTCCAGAGAAAGGTCTGAGTAATCTCTGTCTTCAAGGAACTTCTAATAATGTCCTTGGCTGCCTGAGACCCTAAACTCTGCGTACCATACCCAGTCCTGTCCGAACAACACCACTAGAAACCTGTGAGCAGCCTACGGCCTCCATCTGCACCCAGCTCTGTGTGCACCTGCTTGGTTTCTGTTCAAACACACCCTGAAATACATTCCTACCTCCCCGCTTCCAGAACCACAGAAAATGGGCAATGTGGCATAGCCTGCTTTGGGGTTTCCTCTGAGTGAACTGTTAGGGGAGCTCCCTATTTATGGTCTTACGTCTATGCAGAAGTTGGTGCACATAAGATTAAAGTCAGAGGTATCTTGAGAAGGGAGCAAAAGCTTGCATAAACCAAGCCTGTCAGTCAAAACTGAACCACCTGTGCCGTGCCCTTGGCAGCCAGACTCCTTATCTGACACCCATAAAAGAAAGCCCCAAGCAATAACAATAAAACACATTTCTTCTGATCTGTACTAGCACTTCGTTGGAACTAAGCAGTCCTGCTGCTTCCCAATCGTGAGTCATCCTTGGAAACATCCGGCCCAGAACCCGCCACTGACCAGCAGTAACAATCACACATCCATAAGCGGTGCCCTGGGTCACTGCTCTGTATGTGGTCCAGTCCTCACTTCCTGAGACCATTGTCCTTTCCATTTCCTTCCTCCAAAACACATGCAGAAAATAAGCAAACCAAGAAATGCACACTAGGTAAGCAATACATAAAATAAGTAAACATTCAGGGGGTAAAAGCAAGCCACGCTCTTACTACAGAACCTCTGCGCTCGCCCTGTTCCCTTCCCTGCAGCTGTTGCCACGGAGCGAAACAAACCGGAATTCAGACACATTTTCACCTCACTAAATTGTTCAAATCACGCTCTCCTCGTTTTTTGAGAAAATGCTATGTCTCAGGCTGGATGCTCTCCAAGAGGGCATTTCACTAACTTCGGATCTGCTCTGTCTTGAGTCTGGAGCGTGCACGTGGTAATCAGAGAACGGTTAACATCCTTGATGACGCAGCTGCGTGTCTGTGAGAAGCAGACAGAAAGCAGCAGTCGGACTGCTCCTGGTCATCGGTGTGTTTTAAGGCAGACTCCCAGGAGAGACTGAGGTCAGGGACTGCTATGTCAGGAGTCTGTCACTGCTAAGAAGGCGCCTGGGTCACTCAGGAACACGCTCCCGCTGGTTCTCACGCTCACTTATCTGTTCATAAAGCAACCAAGGGCAGGACGCTAGGATTCACTTTCTTCCCTCCGGAGTCATCAGCCTGAAAGCTTGTCCTGGCCACCACCACAGACAGGAGCCTCCCAGTGCCCACTAGAACAGAAAACCTTTGTTATAGGGATTAATCCCCAACCCCAGAGCCTTGAGTTCTGGGAGCTACTTTGTGGAATGCTATGGTGTTGCCATGTTTACCAGGCTTGCCCTTCACAGTGGGTCCTTAAACCTTGACACAAAACCTTCAGGAAAACAAAGTAAAATTCAAATTGAAGTGCAGACTACTAAATTAGCTTCCATGACCAGCTGTCGGTGTTGAAGGCGCAACAATGATTTGGCAGAGGAAAGATAAGAGAGGGGACTGGGGAGAAAGCCCCCTGGTAAAGTACTTACAGGGTGAGCATGAGGGCTGCAGTGTGGACCCCAGCACCCAGGTAAATACCAGTCATGTGACGTGCAGTGGCTGCCTATAAATCCAACAGAAGGTAGAGACTGGATCCCTGCTCGACTAGCCAAATCTGTGAGCTCTGGGTTCAAGTGAGAAAATCGGCCTCAGTAGACAAGATGGAGAGCAAGCAAGGAAAACATCCAACATCAGACTCCAGCCTTCACATGTGCATTCCATGTACACATTGATGCAGGCACCTCTAAACACATGTGTACCCAGACATAAGCAAGAAACCACACGCACATACATACACAAACCCATATACACCCATACATACATACACACATACAGATACATACACATGTACACACATACATATACACACACATACACATACATACACACATACATATATACGCACATACACACACACATACACAAACAAGGTATGTGAAAACATGACTTTGCTCACCATCTGTAATTGCTCACCGTCTGAGTTTTCCGTTGAGCAGCACAACCCATCGCGTGCTCCCCAGGTTGAGATCTTGTATGAACAAGCTTGCTTTTCTGTTTGTAGTCCACAGTTTCTGCTGGGCTCATTCTCCGTCACTGAAGAGTAATCTGCCCTGGTTCCAGTACTCATGAGTGCTGCGTCTGTGGCATAGGCACCTTTACACGGATATCAGCATCGTATCTACTTCACGTCTCTCCCAGGAAACCACATGAAAAGAGCCTCAGTAAAATAAAAACACTGGGGAGATGGTTCAGTGTGTAAAGGGCTGGCTGTGCAGGCTCCAGGACTGGAGTTCAAATCCTTAGAACCTACACCAGCCAAGTGCCGTAACAGACATCTGTAACTGTGCTCCTAAGGCAAGACAGCAGGCAGAAGCAGAAGACTTCAGAAAGTGGTGGAGCCGCCAGCCTGGGGGGCAGAATGGTAGACGGCAAAAACAGACATACATGCAGGCATAACTTGAAGGTGTTTACGAGTTGTAGAAGTTCCTTGGTAGAATTTGTAGGTTCACTTATGCAAACTATCATATCAGCAAACAGAGTTTGACTTCTTCTTTTCTGATTTGAATCCCCTTGATCTCCTTTTGTTGTCTTATTGTTCTAGCTAGGACTTCAAGAATTATATTGAATGGATATGGAGAGAGTGGACAACCTTGTCTTGTTCCTGATTTCAGTGGGATTGTTTTGAGTTTCTCTCCGTTTAGTTTGATGTTGGCTGTTGGCTTGCTGTATATTGCCTTTATATTTAGATATGTTCCTTGTATCTCTGCTCTCTCCAAGACCTTTATCATGAAGGGATGTTGTGTTTTTTTTTTCAAAAGCTTTTTTGGCATCTAATGAGATGATCATGTGTTTTTTTCCCCTCCAGTTTGTTTATATGGTGCATTACATTGACAGATTTTTGAATGTTGAACTCTCCCTGCATCTCTGGGATGAAGCTGACTTGATTACTTTGGATGTTTTTTCTGATGTGTGCTTGGATTTGGTTTGCCAGTATTTTATTGAGTATATTTGCATCAATGTTCACAAGCGAGATTGGTCTGTAATTCTTTCTTGGTAATGTCTTTGTGTGGTTTGGGTATAAGGGTAAGTGTAGCCTCATAAAAAGGGTTTTGCAATGTTCCTTCTGTTTCTATTTTGTGAAACAATTTGAGGAGTATTGGTATTAGTTTTTCTTTGACAATCTTGTAAAATTTTGTGCTGAAACCATCTGGCCCTGGGATATTTTTGTTTGGTAGATTTTGATGCTGTTTCTTTTTCTTTTTTTTCCCTTTGGTTTTCTTTAAGGGATTTTCTAATGTCTTCCAAGTTTTTGTTTGTCTTTTCTTCCATTTCTTTGAGGGAATCTCTCATTTCCTCTTTAAGAGTTTCAAACATTCTCCTGAGGTTATTTTTTAGGTAATTTTCTTCTGCTTCATATATATTTGGTTGTTCAAATCTCGCTGTTGTAGGGTCTCTAGATTTTACTGGTGTCATGTTGCTCTCTGTGGTGTTGTGTGTGTTCTTATCTTGTCTACTCATCTTTTCCTCTAATTGGTGTGGTTGGGACTGCCTGTGATTCTGGTGGTTAATCTTCTAGGTACCAGTGAATCCAAGGCTCAGATTGTTGTGTGGTATAGTCAGTGCCAAGGTTCTAGTTACCCTGTTGGTCACTCTGTTTTTGGAGGTTGCTTAGCACTCCCAGGCTTTGCTCTGATCCTGTGGGGTTTACTGTCTTAGGCTTGCTCTGGCCTAGATGGTCAGTTCATACTTGTTTCTGTAAATGTCCCTGGTCTTTACCTGCTCCTGCAGAAGTCCTTGGCTTGGAGTTGGTCCTGAAAAGGTTTCTGGCTCTGATCTACTCCTTGGATGTCCTAAACTTGGGTGTGCCCAGACCTGCAGAGGACTTGATTCAGGCCTGTTCCCCCAGAGGTCCCAAACCCACAGAGGTTTCTGGTTCTTGCCTACTCCCTTTGATGTCCCAGACTGATGCCTAGATCCACAGAGGTCCTGGCTCAGGCCTACTCCCTCAGAGGTCCCAGACTCACACCAAGATCCAGCTATACTTCCTGTCTGGCCACTGACAAATCAGCGTTTTATTAAAATACAATAGACAGGATACAAACCATTGTCCAATAGCTCTCCCCCCCTTTTTTAAAAAAAGTAATAACTCTGAATCTCATATCCTTTGTTTAGCTTTTCTCCTGACCATTATCCATAACATCTTGTAACCATCATTCTAAACAAAGGAAAATATCCATAGTCCATTTTCTGGGAATATGGGTATAGTTTTCCAGGCTACTTCCTGCTGGTTGGGCATGCTGATAACCTTATGGAAACCTAAAGAAAATTTAGAATTATTATCAAGTCCTGACTGGAGTATCCTTGAGGCTTGATCATCTCAAGCAGCAGTCTTGAATCTGTTCTGAATGTAGAACTCAGACATCCAGACCATCTGTTTCTACCGGAGATTTCTCAGGTGATCTTCCTTGATAAGAACTAATTTTTCTTAACTCAGAATGAATCTACAGCCTCTTCTTTCCTGTGGAAACAAAAGCAAAATATCTTCTCCAAAGTAACATACCTTTTGGCTTCAATTTTGAAGTAAAAGAATTTTCAAAATACCTATCTTGGATTAATTTAGCAACATTTATAAGCAAATATCGTTTAGCAGCTGTTGCTCCTTCCTCAGCATTCAAACAGTTCAAAGAGAGCATAATAATATACAGTATCCAGAGTCTCTGTGTATTTTTCATCTTTATGTAGCTCTATTTTAACCTCTATTTCTTTTATTTTTAATTTTTGGCTTTTTGAGACAGGGTTTCCTCTATGTATCTTTGTCCTGGAACTCACTCTGTAGACCAGGCTGTCCTTAAACTCACAGAGGTCTGCCTGCCTCTCTCTCCCAAGTGTAGCATTAAAGACATGTGTCACCGCACCTTGAACTTGCAGAGGTCCATCTACCTCTTCCTCCCACGTGTTGGGATTAAAGGTGTGTACCACCAAACCCAATTACTCTCTCTTTTTTTTCTAAAGGACTTTAACCTTTTTCTTTACTCTCCCAAGTTTGTAAATATTTTTAACACACTGTAAACCATTTAGAGTTTTTTTTTTGTCTTTGAATCTCTCTTTACTGTATATCTCTCTCTCTTTTTCTGACTACATGAGTCATTAATTTGCTAAGCAATATGGGTAGGATTAAAGCCGTGGCTTTGATGGCTGGATCCAGCCCATTCCTTAGCTTTCTGAGTTTCCAGCCTCATGGCTGAGGTACTGGCTGGAGCCATGTATATTGCTACAACTCTATGGCGTTTCAAGGTCCCTGCCACCAGCAGAAAGCATGTGGTCAGCTTTTCATCCACACCATTTAAGTGTTTGGTGGCAGAACCTCTTTAAAGAGCTGCAAGGTTTTGCAGCTAAAGCTGAGTCAGGAAGCCTCTCTTAAATGAGAGTGTTTGTCTCTAGCAAACAGAGCCCACCTGAGAAAATGCTGCTATCAATAAGCTGTGCTCAACTCTATTATTTTATGTCTAGAATTACTTCCTGAGCTCTTTCAGGCTTTATGTGGATGCAGTTGCCCCATGTTGTGTGCCATTTGTTTTCTGAGTATTTTTCCTGCCCGGTTCTCACAATCGTTAAGTCCTAAAGAAATCACACAGAGGTCTAACTATAAAGGATTGGCCCATTAGCTCAGGCTTCTTATTAACTCTTATGACTTACATTAGCACATTAGTCTTATCTGTGTTAGCCACATGGCTCAGTACATTTTTCAGTGGCAAAATTACAACTTTCTTCTTCTGTGTCTGGACAGGACTGTAGAGGGAGCTTCCCTCTTCCCAGAATTCTCCTGTTCTCATTGATCCACCTCTACTTCCTTCTGGTTGTCCCATCTATACTTCTTGCCTGGCTACTGGCCAATCAGCATTTATTTAAAACATAATTGACAATTGTCCCACACCAACCCTGCACACTGCATCA